CACTCTGATTAATAGCTTAACCCAGTGAAGGACTGCTTGATTAATCATCAACACTGGTTAATGACATCTTGAGAAAGAGTCTGAAACAAAGAGTTCTGCTATCCATTGGTGATGCCTGTAATGCATACAGGAAGAGAGAGTGGGGAGAAAGATGCTCCTTTTCTATTCCTGTCTGAACACTCTCACTTGGCACTCACTTTCAGATTGATATAATAGTTCTAGAAGTCCAGCAGTCCACAACTAATGCTCCTAACACTTCTATGTTACATCACCCAAAGCAATATATGCATACAGGCATGATTCCCATATAGTTTTCTTATGAGATTAAAAAAAAAAGTATATTTATGACCCTTAATTTGGAGATGAATAGAGTAAGTGCTAAGTAGAAGAGTGGGCTTCCACTAAGGTCACCTCATAACAAATGGAAGATCTAGAATTTGAATTTAGTTCTTTTAGAAACAACAACATGTTTTTTTTTTTTCTCACAATACTATTCCAAAAAATGATAGAGAAAGAAAGAAAGAGAGGGACAGAAGGAAAATTGTTCTCCTGATAGACTGACTTAGATCAGAGTGATTGTACATTATCTACTGGTGACTTGCTTTTCAAATTTTGGAATATTTCCTGCTAATAAATTCCTTGTGGCACCCAATAAACCCAAATGAAACATTCATGCAACAGGCTGAAATTTAAACAGGAAGTTGACTAAAAGGAAACCTACTAGGAAATGGGCTACCGATATTAATAAAAATTAGTTTCTGTCTATAGTAAACTTACAAACATATTGATAAATAAATGAACTACAGTATGCTGAGAATTACAATGACATGGACCCAAGGATCCATGACATAGGAGGTAATGGCCACCATACCAGGTGTGAGTAGGCAAGGAGGGTGTCAGAGCGGCCTCACTCAGGAAGAGATGGATGGGACCTGAAGGGTAGGTGGGAGATCACCAAGCATAACCAAACTGGGAGGAGCAAATGTCAGGACTGGACACCAGAACAGCATGGCAAGTTCAAAGAAAAACGGGGCAGGGTATGTGCATAATAGAGGCAAACAAGAAGCAGGGTGTACACTGGAGTATATAGCATGAGGTAGGGGACAGCAGAGGAGATAGACAAGAAGATGGTTGTGAGAAGCATTCAGGTACTTGGAGCAGACTGGGCCTTATGGAGTTTAGCCTGTATGCACTGGGAAACCACCAGAAGGTTTTCAGCAGGGGTGCAAAACAATCACATTGGCCTTTGAAAAAGACCACTGTGGAAACTGGGCTGGAGTTCCCCAAGTCACAGGCAGTAGAACCAGGCAAGAAATGAGCAGAGCCTAACTCAAGAGTTCTTCCTCTCAGACCCACACTCTTTGAAGGATTTATGGAAGCTCTCCAACTGCTTGCCCCTAATGTCAGAATGAGCATGTCTCTGAGGAAAAGCTCTGTACCTTTCCCAGGTTCTCAAAAAAAAACCCCAGAAACCCAGAACAAGAAGGACAATAACATCCTAAAGTTGAAAACTGTCTGGCCTACACTCAGGTCACAAAAGTGGAATAAAAAATAAAGAGAGAGATAAACATAAGAGTTAAGTAGGAGTCACATATAAAACAAATAGAGTTTGAGATGCAGTATTTGCATCTAAGTTTTTAAAAAACAAATGAGCAAAGGCCTTAACAATAAGCCAACTATATTTGGGTCATATTTGATACACATAAAGTTGAGAAACTCATGCATATATCAGAACCTTGCCATAGATTTTCCAGGATGGACCAGATCGCCTCACTATCCCATCTTCCTGTATCTTCTTTAACTTCCAAGTGTTCTCTTGCTTGTTGGACCATGTATCCCAAAGGTTGGTTTGGAAAGGAAATACCCTGTAAGTTCAAAACTCTGAGAAGTTGGCCAAAGAAGACATTAGTAGCCTCTTCTGGAAGAGGAGAGAGCTGAGAAGCACCAAATTTCAAAACTCTAGCTACAGAAACTTCTAGAACTAGAAAATCTAACCGTTACCAGGCAACAAGGTAAATAAAGAAAGAAAAATCTAGATCATTTGTTTTTAACTTTTTTTTTTAACATTTTATTTATTTATTTGACAGAGAGATCACAAGTAGGCAGAGAGGCAGACAAAGAAAGGGGGGAAGCAGGCTCCCCGCTGAGCAGAGAGCACGATGTGGGGCTCCATCCCAGGACCCTGAGATCATGACCTGAGCTGAAGGCAGCGGCTTAACCCACTGAGCCACCCAGGTGCCCCTGTTTTTAACTTTTATGGAGGTTAGAGACCCATAACCCCCACAATTTTGAGAAGTTGCGGAACCTTACAGACTTTCTCCCAACACAATTCACACAGGCATCTTCTTACAAAATTGTGCACGCTATTTTGAGAAGTTCTCAAAACCTCTCTAGTCCAAGAAACTCCATGTGACCATTAACACCAGCTTAAGAGCCCCCGTCTCGAAAATTCTCCTTTTCCTCAACAAACATTCTGTTATCATAGTTTTTCATCTAAATTAGTCTTACTAATGTTTGCAGTGTCTGGCTTATCTGGCTTTCATCGATCCATTCACTCTGCTATTAATTTCACCTTTGCTGCATGCACGCAACCTTGGTCAGCTGTAAAACCACAAAGTCTAAAGGGAGACTGATTCTCATTGCCACTAAATGAAACTATCATCCACATGGCATATGAAATCCCAAATGGACTTATAAACCGAGAATAGGAAATACTGTTCTATGCTTAAGCTTCATAAAAATGCCTTCCCCTCTCAGCAATGGTCTCTGTTCTTAACACCAGGTATTTGAATCCTGGTCTACTATACAGATATTATATACATGTACACACATATAATATCCTAGATAGTTATTCTTTATCTCTATCTATATATCCTTCAACATTCTCTCCACTTTGAAGCAAATTATAGACACTTTCAAAGTAAATCCAAGCCCAGCAATGGTCTTGATTTCTTAATGGATTAAGGAAAAGAATAATTTGAAGGGGAAAAAATTACAGCAAATTCTATATAGTTTCTTTTTCCCACAGTGCAGTTACTGAAAACCTTTGATTAGATCCCTAAAGAAGACCACACACTCAGTAATTTGAAGCAAAAGGTTAATGGTGTTGTTACAACTATTATCCCTTTTAAAATCATTATCCTCTTGTTTTTTATGGCTATATTACCTTCACCTTCCCATGAACCCACTTTACCAGCTGTTTCCCTCTGTCATAAAGTTTGCTGAACATTATCGTAGGAATAGGAGAAACGCCATGTTTTATCAATCAAGCCTTAGGGAATTGGAGGCTTCTTATAACCACAACTGTAAAGGGAGTTTATTGCAAGTTTCTGTTTTGATTTGTAAATTGTCCTTAAGTAAAATACATACCTGATGCCAAGGTATAGAGTGTAAAAATACAATACGGTACAATACAGAAACCTGCATCATAAAGTTTGATAGGCTGACAAATGAGAAAGGTAAAGACAACTGACAAACGCACGAACGCTTGCTTCCTCCGTGCGCCACACCCGCGGCATCTTTCAACCTGCCAACGCCTGAATTCCCCAGCCCTTCACCTCACGCCACCCTGACACCCCAAAGAACACATGAAACACAGGACCGATACTTTTAACTCACACAGAACTACATAGGAAGGCTCAACACAGTTCCAAATTTGATATGATGAAGATACTGTTTAATCAGGATGCAATAATATTCAAACTGTACTGCAAAAGCCCTAAAATACCACTATATAGTGGGGACTAAAAAACACATTTCTAAATTGTAAAATATTATTAAATATGTATAACTAAATGATAGTAAATATCAAACTTGAAGGATACAACTAAATGAGTTCTTTGAGGATATTTTGTAGCCTTAGGAAGCACTTTATTTTATTTTATTTTTATTTTTTTAATGGGGGAGGGGGAGAGAGAGAATCTTAAGCAGGCTCCATGCCCAGAGCAGAGCGGGGGACACAGGGTTTGATCTCAGGACCCTGAGATCATGACCTGAGTTGAAATCAAGAGTCAAAGGCTAAACTGTCTGAGCCACCCCAGTGCCCCCTTAATAAGCAGTTTAAAAGATTGAAAATAAGTGAATGAAATATCCAACCAAAGCAGACATTAAAAGAGAAAGAAAACAAATCCAAATGGAAAGGAACTAAGCATAAGAGTAAAGTTGCTTTTTTTTTTTTTACAAAATAATGAAGAAAAACAACAAAAGCAAGATCTAGTTCTTTGAAAAAGTATTATTTGCAAATCTCTAGTAAGACTGATCAAGAGGAAACAAAGCCACAAGTTAGCATAATCAGAAATGGAAAAGAAACATAGCTATGGATAAATAATTTTGTTTTACTTTTTTTTTAGATTTTTTTTTTTTTTTTTATGTAATCCCTACCACTGAGGTTGGGCTTGAACTCTGATCCTGAGATCAAGTGTTGCTTACTCCACCGACTGAGCCAGCTGGGTGCCCCCATGGCTATAGATTAGTTGTAAGTTAACACTATAAACAATTTTGTACCAATCCATTTGAAAATAATGTTGAAATGACAAATTCCCCCCAAATACTTTAATCACCAAAATGAGTAAAATAATAATAATAATAATAAATTGTGAACAAGCCAGCAGCCATTAAGTAATCTGGATCAGCAGTCTAAAAACTCTCTCTCCTCAATCAATTTCACAAGATAATTTTAACTACCTGGAGCCCAAAACTCTCTATTTTTTTAACCAACATTTTTCAGAATAAAGAAATAGAGAAAGCTCTCCAACTCATTTTTTGATCTTATTATAGCCCTATTCTGAAACCAGTCAAGGGCAGTGCAGAAAGACAATTAAAGGCCCAAATCACTTATAAGCCTACATGTAACAATAACAAAATAGTGTCAAGTCAAATCAACAATGTATAAAACTAACAGGTGGGGCGCCTGGGTGGCTCAATGGGTTAAGCCTCTGCCTTCCACTCGGGTCATGATCTCAGGGTCCTGGGATCAAGCCTGCATCAGGCTCTCTGCTCAGCGGGGAGCCTTTCTGATCGACCCGGTTCTGGAGATGGCGCCTCGGGATGCCCAGCTGGTCAAGGAATTGGGGCTGCGGCTGCTGTATGCTGTGAATACCCAGTGCCACGCGGACCACATTATGGGCTCAGGGCTGCTCCGGTCCCTTCTCCTCGGCTGCCAGTCTGTCATCTCCCCCTTAGTGGGGTCCAGGCTGACTTGCACATTGAGGATGGAGACTCCATCCACTTCGGGCGCTTTGCCTTGGAGACCCGAGCAAGCCCTGGCCACAACCCGGGCTGTGTCACCTTTGTTCTGAATGACCACAGCATGGCCTTCACTGGAGATGCCCTGCTCATTCGAGGGTGTGGACGGACAGATTTCCAGCAAGGCTGTGCTAAGACCTTGTATCACTCAGTCCACGAAAAGATCTTCATGCTTCCAGGAGACTGTCTGATCTACCCTGCTCATGATTACCGTGGGCTCACGGTGTCCACCGTGGAGGAGGAGCGGACTTTGAACCCGCGGCTCACCCTCAGCTGTGAGGAGTTTGTCAAGGTCATGGACAACCTGAACTTGCCCAAGCCTCAGCAGATAGACTTTGCTGTTCCAGCTAACATGCGCTGTGGGATCCAGACCCCCCCCTTCCTGACCTAGTTTTGTCAGGTGCTCATTTCCGTTAAGAATGCACTAGGCAGGGTACAGAGAGAGGTGCCATCGCCAGGCCTCTCTCCTTCCCCTCCCTCACCAGCCCCTGAGCTTCTCAAATAAATAAATAAAAATTATTATTTTTTTGCTCTGAAAAAAAAAAGTAGGCCTCTCTGCCTACTTGTGATCTCTGTCTGTCAAATAAATAAATAAAATCTTAAAAAAAATCATAACGTGTCATTAATGAGTCAGATTTATATTACTAAGGTAAAGATATTTCAAAGTTATAAAATCAATCAACCTAAAGAACAAAATGATATGATCATCTCAACAGATGCAGAAAAGTTGTAAATATAAACATGTATTTATATAAATGCTTTTGGCAAAGTGGCAACAGAGAGAAACCTTCTTCGTTCAAAGATGATGTCATTCTTAGTATCAAACTTTCTAATGAATCGCCATAAAGCCAAGAAAGAGCCAAGAATTCTCACTTATTCATGTTGAATAATACCATACTAGAAATCCTAACCCATAAAATATATGAAAAGGAAGCAAAAGGCTTAAGGTAAGTCTACAGGAACACAATGTCCTAATTTATAAATAAGATGATTATGTGTATCAAATCAAGCCCTACTGTAGTTCTAATCCAGCCATGCCCATGTGTTTCCATGTAGCCTATGACAAGAGCAGAGTTAGTAGCGACTGCACGACCCTCAAAGACAAGAATATTTGCACAGGAAAAGTTTGCACACCCCCGGTCTACATAATAATAAATATGTAGTAGGTCAAACGGAATCAATCAAACAGAATCCACAAACAAACTAGTAGAATGGGGAAAGAAAAAAAAAAAAGTTTCCAGACTCCAGATCAATGTACAGAAAATCAGTAGCATCTCTCCGAATCAGGATAATCTACTTGAAAACTGTATTCCAAAGAGAGCAACTGCTCACAATAATAAGAAAATAAATAAATAAGCAAATTCTACGGTGTATTAAAAAAAAATGCACCACGCCTTGACCAAAGGGATAAAATATTTTTGAAGGACATGAAATAAAAACTGAATGAAAATGGAATAAATGCTTATTTCTTTGGCAAATTTTTTAATCATGGTAACAGTCGGATTTCGATTCTCGAAATCCCTTTGCCTGCCTTCTAGACAGCTGTTTTGGTTATTTCTGGATTTCCCAACAACATGTGGGGTAGACAAACAATAGATAAATCGGCTGTGATTGCGTCCCATATGTACAGAACAAATAAAGGATGAAATGAAGTTAAGAGAGTAAGAAAGAAAGGAAAAGCCCGTAACTCTATGTTTTTGTGCATTATAAATCCTAAAATATTTATAACATGTTAAACTCTGAAATAAAACCAATATACCTATAGGTTTCATCACAGCCCTGTGAAGAAGATACCATAATTGTTCTCAATTTATGTATGAGAAAACTGAGCCTGGGGAGAGATCAGTGCCATTAACAAGTCACACAGCGAGGCATGCAGGGCGGGATCCAAACTCAAGCAATAAAATTCCAGACCCTATTCTCTTAATCCTACCCTGTGGAGTAGGCATTACTCCCTTCATTATTACGGTCAGAGTATTATCCTCACTCTTGGTTCCAGAAGCTTGGAACTATTAAGTGACTTGACCAAATTCATCAGCTTAGCCTTGACATTCAAGTGTGAGAGTTGCCAAAACTCATACCGTACCAACACTGGTCCAAAACTCGAGTGACACCAGCATGGGAGCCGGAGAAGAATAAAAAGCTTTAAATATTAATTATTCAGTGGATATTGTGATTTGGGGTGGAACAGACCTTCAGAAATGTCAATAGACTATACATTATTAATCAACTTATCAAAGTCAAGAATTTAAATATTTAAACATTTCTGCCCCTGAAACATAGGTAGCAAACCCCACAGTCACTAGAACTGCATATAGCACATTAAATTTCTACCTTCTGCTAATGATGCAGGGCTTCCATTTATCTGGTTCTAACAATTTTCTTTAGGAAGACAGGCCTGGGAGTCTCTGGAGAGAAGTGGCAGGCAGGGAGACATCCAGACTTACTGACTGCCCATCTCAAAACTGCTTCCTTTACCTGTTACATAGTCTTTTAGTGTCCTTGCATTCCATTCTAGGTAGAGATTTAATTCTTGAGAATAATAATTCAAAATAATAATTCAAAAACTGGGTGGCTCGGTGGGTTAAAGCCTCTGCCTTCAGCTCAGGTCATGATCTCAGGGTCCTGGGAAGGAGCCCTTCATCAGGCTCTCTGCTCAGCAGGGAGCCTGCTTCCCTTCCTCTCTCTCTGCCTGCCTCTCTGCCTACTTGTGATCTCTGTCTGTCAAATAAATAAACAAAATCTTGAAAAAAAAATCAAAATAACCTGAGCCTTTTATTTTCCTTAAAAGACAATCCATTCTTATTGTAGATTTAGGGGAAGAGAGAAAATCTCTGACAATAATAACCCCCAAAAGATAACCATAACATAACATCAGGTATATTGTTAAAATTGAAACTACCCCCTGAATACTACCATAAAATTAATCAAGAGACTCTCTTCTCCCCCAGCAATGGGCCATAAAAGCACATGGGATATTGTGGGGCAAAGGTTGAGTCTGTGGTGTCCAAGTAGAATTGGACCGCCAAATAAAGTTGTTAGCAAGCGAACAAACGTGTGTAAAAGTTCTATTCGATGTCTGATAAGCCAGCCCGAACAGCCAGGTCAAAGTGTCTGAAGCTTCTGGAGAGTAATCAATGCCAAAGAGAAGGGACTTTCTGCTCCAGCACTTCTCTGGATTAGGACATGATCCCAAGCAGCAGCTGGAATTACTGGGATAACTTCAAAGTCTCTCGTGAAAGTCACCTATCAAAGGATCAGTCGTGTCTTGAGGGCCCCATTCAAGCAGGAACCTGAATGTCAGAGATGCACTCAAAATTTGAGGCAGGAGAACAATTCTTGTATATACCAGATGACTGATCTGCTTCAGGCGTCTGATGAAGCCAGCCCTGGTTTTCTGGGCTCAGTGACTGGGTAAGACCAAGGCTGCTGGTTGAATATCTTTTGTACCCAGAGCGGAATGATACTAAACCACAAGTAAAGTAAAGATCTTGTCGTCCTCCAAAAATCTCACTGAGGTGAAAAAAGTAAAAATAAAAGTAAGAATTATTTGATAGAAACAGTAAAAAAAAGCTAAGAACTTTTCTACCAGTAGGCCAGAAGCTTTGGAAATGATCTACAGGACCCAAAAGAAGTGGGACAGGCTGAGGTGGAGACCAAACTGAGTTGCAACCTACTCCAGATCAACAAGGGTGTGCTGAAGCAGTGAATAATAATTTTTACAAGAAAGCCTCCCAAAATTTCAAGTACCGAGTCAGCCAGCTCAGGGAGCAGGAGGAGGCTGTGGGTTCTTGGTGGGCTCCCGGCATGGGTGTCAAAGCCAAAAGAGAAATGAGGCTGTTCCTAGGCAAATCCAGGCCTCCATAGTAGATATGAACATATATACCCTAAAAGAAGCTAGCCCCTATCTCCTCATCCCAATGGGACTTTGCAAGTAAGATTCCCACTTATGGTTAGAAAAAACACTACAGTAGCTACTAATATCAACTATTCCAGACACTCATATGTGGATATATACACACATACGCATATATGTATCTACATATACCTACACATATACACACACATAGATAGATAGCCAAGAATTACCAGACACCTGGTAATTACCAGAGATTTAAAAAAAAAAAATGATGGCATAAAAGTGAGAAGTCACCCCATAAGAGCAAAACAAACAGTCCCCATACGAAACGGCATTGACAAAGGGAAAAGAAAATGTGGCCAAATATCTGAATATTCCTTATGACGCTGAACGGAATTTGGTATCCATATAAACAAGAGTGGGGTGGTAAATAGGTACAGTTAGAAAGTTAAAAAAATAATAATTCTTAGACAAATAAAATATGATTAGCACAATATAAAACACAGTGGGGCACAGAACAAAATGTACATATAGTCAACCTCCAAATAGTAATTTAAAAGCCCAATTTGAGGGGCAGCTGAGTGGCTCGATCAATTAAGCATCTGACTCTTGATTTCAACTCAGGTCATGATCTCAGGGTCGTGGGATCAAACCCCACATCAGGCTTTGCATTCAATGTGGAGTCTTCTTAGGATTCTCTCTCTCCCTTTCCCTCTGCCCTTCCCCTGCTCATTTGAGCACATTCTAAATCAATCAGTCAATCAATCAATGTATCTATCTATCTAAAAATAAAATTAAATTAAAAAATAAAAGCCCCATTTGACAATGTAAGCAAAAGACAAATGAAATGTAAATTATTTGAGAACAACTTGAGTTTTGTGAACTAAAGTGCCACGTAAACACTAAAAAGGAATACTGAAAGTAGTCACACATGACCAGATCTATCCTGCTATTATTTCTGAATTCAGAGGTTAATTCTAAAAACATACTACTTAGAGCTTTTAGGAAGATAAAACAATTTTATTAAAAAGGAAAGAGAAATATAGGCTACAACGAAGAAATATCTATGTTGTTCTGAAGAAAATATTATGAACCTTGAAGGCTTTAACAAGCCATATTATCATCTGCACATGAAGACCAACTAAACATTTCTTTAGTTGTACAAGGATTCAGAAAATATACCTCAAAATTTGTCTTTTCTGAAAAAGAATATTACTCACTTATATATTCCAGCCAATTAAAAGTTATATGTCTATATCCAAAAAACAGAAAAATCATAGATATAAAAAACACTAGAGATAAAAGCAGTTAGCAAACCCTAGAACTATACCAAAAAAAGGGGTGACAATGCGTTGCTAGAGTTTAATGCAACTACTTAGAACAGATACTTTTATAAACAAGAAAATTAAGGACACATTTTATTTTTCTTAAGATTTTATTTATTTATTTGACAGAGATCACAAGTAGGCAGAGGAGTGGGGGGAAAGAGAGCCCAATGCAGGCCTTGATCCCAGGGTCCAGGGATCATGACCTGAGCTGAAGGCAGAGGCTTTAACCCACTGAGCCACCCAGGCACCCCCTAAGCACACATTTTAAATTTCAAAAATAGAAAATTAAATTTTAAAAATAAAAATTTAAAAAACATTTTTTAACAATCTGG